CGACCAAATCAAAAGGAGAGACAGTCATCTTCCTTCTCTTTTTACTGTTACTGTTACAGAGATCTCTGTCGGTTCCCTCGTGGAACCACTACTGTTTACTGACTGATGGCCATCATTACTGTTCGGTCTTTTAAGACCTACTGTTACTGTTATGCTAATGGATGTACCACATATGACTGTTTACTGTACTGAACAACTGAAATACTGGTTGAATTGAACTGTTTTCATTACTGTAAGGACATTCATTCTAAACCCCTTTACGCATTATGTTATTCACTGGGCTTTAGCTCACTGCTCATATATATATGTAGGTGTACAGGCACCAGACCGCGGCTAGGAGCGCCAGGGTAACTCCAGTTTTGTCAAGCCAACTACTGTGCCTCACTGCGAGGTTCCCTGCCTATCGTGTTAAGGCTTAGGGGTGTTTTACAATTCTCCCTTCTGTACCGTCCCACTGTTTTGTATAGACTGAATGTTTACCGTACTGTTATATAGGGTTGAGTCCCTAGTCTGAATGATTGTAAATATTGTACATACTGTTCTGTACTGGTTATATATACACGTATGAAAGTCTTTTTCATATAGACTGTCACAGCTCAATGGACATTATTTATTTACTGTATTGGCTTCCGCCAGGCCCTGTACTCTGTTTTACTGTATTACTGTTCCGCAGGCCTTCGGTAATCTCGGATTACTGGCCGGTTACGGTGCTAAACCCATAGGGCCAGGTTTGGGTCGTGACATAAATAATAAACCCACCCGTCTTCTTTTGAGCCTATAGAATATTGGTGAAAAAATTTGGCTAAGCCGAGGTTAATACCAGCACGGCGGTTTAGCTCGGCTATAACATTTATTATGCGGTATGAGTTTGTGGAAAGCTGAGTTGGGCATATCCTAGTTTGCATAAGGAATTCACAAAGTAAGGGCTGTACAGGGAATCTTAGGCCGGTTTCTACAATGGAAAGGAGGGTGAAGGGAACAAAACCAGGGTTTCCCCAAGGTATGATATCTTGTTCGGCTAAGGTGAGATGGACGTCGTCAGGAATATTATACTCCCTTCGGAATTCGGCCAGGCCACCAGGTGTTTCCACTAAAAACCTATATTTATCCATTTTGTCTTAAGTTATGAATAAATTATACTTGTGATTAGCTCGGTCGTAGAAGGGGGTTGAGTAGCTCAGTTGAGCGCTCAAAGGAGTGCCTGGGCAACCTAAAGTCTGCAAAGTGAAAAAACAAAGGTGTTAAGCACAGACCGTTGGACCGTGCTAAAGAGAAATAAAGGCAAGATATATCAAATCTTAGCTCGGCTATGTGAAATGCTACATGTCTTAGCTCGGTTTTGAGCAAGGGTTTGGTTATCTCGGTTTGCACTAGGGATTTGGTATCTCGATTTATACAAGGGGTTCGTTATCTCAGTTCGTGCAAGGGTTTTGTTAGCCCGGTTGAGCCTCTATGGGACAGCACTCGTAGTTCGGTTGAACTACGAAAGTTGGTTTAGCCCCAGTCATAGCTCGGTCGTGGTTGAGGCTTTCAAATATAGTATTGCATAGACCTAGTATGGTTAAAAAATCGGCTAGTCGAATCACAAGAAGGTTTTATTTCTTGAAACTAATGGCATAGCATGGAGTTCTAGTTCGGTTAGTTAGTCAGGCTGGTTTAACGTCAACTACAAACTACTTATTAGTTCGGTTATATTGTGATTTTGGATCAACTACAGTGTCCTACAAGTTGTTTTAATGAAATTCAAGTGGTTCTTATAAGTTTTTTCAGAAGACGCAAGGCAAAGCAAAAATGGAAATGAGTGTGTTTTGCAAAAACACACAAAACAAAATGCATTGGATTGAACAAGTACGAAAATAAGAAAAATAAAACAGATTTATAATGCTTACCTGGTGAAGATCGAACAGCCTAGAGGATGGGAGCAAACGGTAGCAGCAAAACATGAGCTTCACAGTTGCAACGTTGAAGGACAGTGGAGGTTAGAAGAAAGAGAGAAGAGGAGTTGAATAGTAAAGTGAATGATTCTAAACCTTGAGGATTGTTTTGTGAAAAGAGAAGGAAGGTTGAAAAGGCGGGAACTGTTCAAAAAATGCGAGGTATGAGGGCGATGTGACAGTTGCCTTCAGCCAATAAGAGCATGCCATGTGTCCATGAAATGAGAAGCGTTTCAGTTGCTGTGATTGAAGAGACGTTTTGACCGAACAGGTACAGCCCGGTGTGAATTTAGCTCAGCTGGAAAGGCTAAAAGGGTTTTTAGCCTGACTGGAAAGGCTAAAAGGGTTTTTAACCCGGTTGGAAAGGCTAAAGGGTTTTAGCTCGGTTGGAAGGCTGAAACTTTTTAGCTCGGCTGGTGACAGGTAATCCCTGTCATGCAGTGCAGATGGAATTAAAGGGCAATTGAAAGGGTAGTTTATATGTAAATTGGGCCGAGCTGGGCAATGGGCTGTTCTTTGAGCCGTAATGAAGAGGCTTGGGAGATGGGCCACGGTCAAGTGTTAGCTCGGTCCAAAGTAAGGCTCTTGCCGCCAGACTAAGTAAAAAGGCTTGGTAATTAGTCTGGTCCTAAAAAAAGCAACGGTTAGCTCGGTCACCGCGATTAGAAGAAGTTAGTTCGGCCACGCCATTCGGAGCTGAGGTACGGTGACTTCGCATGGTAAGCCTAGCTTTGGTTAGCCCAGTCCAAGCTTGCTACGGTTAGCTCGGTCTCAATAGGTGAAACCGGAGCACAAGCTATGAAGAGAGAGCCGAGCTAACTAGAGTTTGGTCGTTTTGGCCCATTTAGCATGGCTATGTTATCCCGGTCGTTTTGCCATACTATCGGCTTGAAACTATCTCACTTGGTTTAAGCAGTGAAGAGGGTGTTGAAAGATAAGCATTATCTTTCAGGAGAGTGAATCCTAGGAGGACTCTATATGGAGGATTAAAAGTCCTACTAGGATTGTGCCATACGGAACCTATAAATGCTCACAAACATCACCTATGAAGAGGTAACACACAACTTTGACTCCCGAATTCACAAAGCTTTTTGTCTGTTTGTCTATTTTGCTGATTTAGGCATCGGAGAGGTATCCGGCACACACTCGCCGGCTAGCTCACGTTTGTATTTTCAGGGAGTAAAGCGACGACGTACGGACGAGCGCAGACTTGATCAACAAGATTATACGGGAAGAATATTTCGTGCCCGTACAATTCCCAAATACCCATCCAGTTTTTTGTAGCTTCCTCAAGCTGCGTTTTCTGCTGCAAAAACGCAACTTTTATTTATGTTGCCAAAACACCACTAAAATAGTTTCAAACCTAACCCAATCCAGGTTACCAAGCAAAGGCATAGTGGGTTCGATTTAATTTTTTAGAAATTGAATTTTTTTCATTTTTTTTTATTTTTAGTGGTTATTTTAAAAATTTTAAGTAATTTTTTTTTATTTAAAATTTACCTTACTTAGATATATTTAAAAAGTAAAATATTTGTAAAAAATCAATAAATATTCAAAAATATGAAAACATCTTGAATTCTTGTATTTTTTTTTTGTACTTTTGATATTTAGTAAATTTTTACAAATATTATATTTTTTAAGTATATTTATGTTGAGTGTATCTAAAAATTTTAAAAAAAAATTAGTAAAAATAAAAAAATTTAATTTTGTGAAAAGTAAATTCCGAAAATAACAACCAAACTAGTTACTCTTTGAACCTCCTCCTTCCGCTGGTTTAACGTCAACTACAAACTACTTATTAGTTCGGTTATATTGTGATTTTGGATCAACTACAGTGTCCTACAAGTTGTTTAATGAAATTCAAGTGGTTCTTATAAGTTTTTTCAGAAGATGCAAGGCAAAGCAAAGCAAAAATGGAAAAGAGTATGTTTTGCAAAAACACACAAAACAAAATGCAGTGGATTGAACAAGTACGAAAACAAGAAAAATAAAACAGATTTATAATGCTTACCTGATGAAGATCGAACAGCGTAGAGGATGGGAGCAAACGACAGCAGCAAAAACACGAGCTTCACAGTTGCAAGGTTGAAGGACAGTGGAGGTTAGAAGAGAGAGAAAAGGAGATGAGTAATGATTCTAAACCTTGAGCATTGTTTTGTGAAAAGAGAAGGAAGGTCGAAAAAGCGGGAACTGTTCAAAAAACGCGAGGTATGAGGGCGGCGTGACAGCTGCCTTCAGCCAATAAGAGCATGCCACGTGTCCATGAAATGAGAAGCGTTTCGGTTGACCGGCCGGTCAACCAACCGGTTGGCCAGCGCAAATTTGATGAAACGGATTTGATGTTGAACCGTTGGAGCGCGAAGTATCAAATTAAGGAAATGACCTCTTTTTAACTCAAATTTAATGAAACATTTGGTACACGGTTGGAGATGCTCTTAAGTATCAAAAGAATTTCTAACCACCAGATTGACTTGATCAAAAAAAAAACCACCAGATTGACCTAACTCATCGTGCGTTATTTTTAAATTTCACCTTTATTCGAAGATTGACACTAGACTCTAGGTCGCTGTCATTTTATGAAAATTGCTCTCACGCATCTCGTTATTGGCCATTTCACATTTAAAAAAAAAAAAATTTAATTCAATCTGATATATTTTAATTAAACTATAATTAAGACATCGTTTAGAAATATATTAATTTAGTAATTTTTTGATCTTTTATAAAAAAATGTGGAGAAAAATAAAGAAAGTGATGTAAACTTTTTGATTTTTTAATTAAAATGTATAGTTGACAAACGAAACTTAAATTTAAAATTATTTTGCAAAAATGTCTTTAGTGTGGTTTTTAATTTATTTTATGAATTAAAAAAATATATAAATTAATTTATTGGAAAAAATAATAAATCAAAAACATTTATAATTTTCATACAATTTTAAAATTTTTAATGGCAAAAAAAAAATATATATATATATTTAATATTTATTTTTATCCAACCTATATATATAAATAATAAAAAAACTAAAATTGAAACCAAACAGAGCCCAACTGACATATTTGGGCCGGAGTTGCGGCCACATGACATGAGAGCCCATTTGCTTTATTTGCCCTAACTACTATAAACACTTTTGAGATACATAGCAGAGCAGCCTCTCTGTTTCTTCTTCTCTTCATCGTTTCACTTGTTGCTTCCAATCGGCGGCCTCTCTCTCTGTCGACCCTGCATCGGTTTGTTGCTCTCTCTCTCTCTCTCTCTATATATATATATGTATGCATATGCGAAATGTGAGTTTTTTTTGTTGGATTTTTGGTATACCTAAATATCTGTACTACGTTGTTTATCAGTAATGGAGGCGGCTGTTGTAACTCAAACGAATGTTGGTGCTGCTGCTAATCAGGAGAAGGATCAATCTCATTCCGATGTCAAGCTCTTCAACAGATGGGTCTTTGACGACATTCAGGTCTTCATCTCTCTCTCTATATATATGTGTGTGTGTGTGTGTGCGCGCGCGCGAGCGTTTGTAGATTGTGTATGTTAAGTATTACAATTGTGGTGCTCTTAATGCTTAAATTGATGATGCTTTGGAATCTCCTATTTGGGCAATTTTTAGTTTTCTTATCTGATAATTGACACAATGTTTCATACTTTGAGGTAATTTGGGATTTAAAAAAAAAATGTAATTGGTGTTTTAAAAAAAAATGTAATTGGTGTTTCAGCTTCCTTATTTGTTTATTGGGTTAATTACAAAAAAAAACCCCTAAGGTTTCATGCATTTTTTACTTTAAACTTCAGTGTTTCAATTTTGAGAAATTAAATCGTGGAGTTCCATCATGTTTCAATTTGCTCCATCCGTCCATCTCCGGCCATCTGTATTAAGGGAATGGAGGGGGTTTAAAGTGAAAAATGTGTGAAACCTTGGGGTTTTTGTGTAATTAACCATTTTTTGATAATTAAAATCACTAAAAACCAAAAAAAGGTTAATTACAAAATAAACCTTAAGGTTTTACGTGTTTTTCACTTTAAACCCCCGTATTTTTTACTCTTAAGCTATCTCCATTACCTTACCGAGATGGATGGACGGGGCAAATTGAAATACTGATGGAGCTCTAAGTTTAATCTGTTGAAATTGAAATGCTGGGGTTTAAAATAAAAAACGCGTGAAACCTTGGGTTTTTTTTTTTTTTTTTAATTAACCCTTATTTATTATTTTGATATTCATTCAAATTTTTGGATCTCTTTATTCATTTCCAATTTGGAAAACCCTTCTGATTATCTTTGATTTATAATTTATTTAAAAAGACCAAATATAAATATGGCTTTAATGCTGAAGTCATCAAAATGTAGGAAAAAATGCAGAGATTCCTCTACAAGTTGAGATGTATAGCTAAGAAATGCAACACCCATACTATTTATGAAATTTATGTTTTGATTGGTACAACTAACTACAATTCCTCAAGTTGACATTTGTGTAAAATGCATTGGTTTGCTTCTGTTATGAGGAAATTTTGTATTATATTGTTGAATGGACATGAGTAGATCCATTATAAATTAACATTAACTTTTCAATCAATTATTTTAGGAAAATACTATAAGTCCCAAATTTTCTACCAAATAAATGACCAAATGTCTCACATGAATGTGGGGGTTCATTTGGTAGAAAATTTGATATCCCTAACATTACCCATTATTTATGTCAGCCCTGCTATCATTATATAAAAATATTTCCGTAGCCTTTGATAGCCCTCTGCCTTTGTAAACAATATACTCCCATTTTCTCCTTTGCAAATTTCAAATTATCTTGGAGTTCAATATAGTTTTGATTAAATTTATTATTTGTCTATTTGATTATAAATTATTGTTTAATACATGTGGTATTGACTTTTTATGAATTTGAATTGAATTTTATGTTGGGTAGTGATTGGTATCTATGCCGGGTTATTGTTGTTACTCAGTACATGATTAATGTGTAGTGTCTACCTTCGGGAAGCTGAAGGAGTCCGTCATTTTGTTTTGGTGCATTAAATATCAATTAATGTATTCTTTTTTTTTCTCTTACTTTTTATCAATTGAAGCTTATTTTTCTACACTTGTTTTTAAAATATTCAGAATTTAGTATGGCCGCTCATGTTTTGTGCATGTGATTGTAGTGTTATTATAAATGCTGTCTAGTCGTATGTTATTGTGCTATGAGGAAAATTTTAAAAGTTGTGATATCCAATCATCTCCTCGAAACTTTTAGGTTTGGTGTGTCTCTCTCAAACGGTAAAGAGTTCTTTAACATTTCTATTTATAATAGTTTAAAGCTGGCATTGTCAATGTATTTATTATTTGTTATGTTGTTTTGTACAGATCAGTGACATGTCTGTAACAGATTACATTGCTGTGAATCCTGTAAAGCACGCAACTTATGTGCCTCACACAGCTGGAAGGTACTCAGTCAAGCGGTTTAGGAAAGCCCAGTGCCCAATTGTGGAGAGGCTGACCAACTCTTTGATGATGCATGGGCGAAACAATGGTAAGAAGCTTATGGCGGTCCGCATTGTTAAGCATGCAATGGAAATTATCCATCTGCTGACTGATCTAAATCCCATTCAAATCATTGTTGATGCTGTTATCAACAGGTAAGCCTCTATGCCTGCTCTCTTCTTCCTTTATTGTTTTATTGTTAAGCATGTGACAGAAACTATTCATCTGTTGACTGGTCGAAATCCCATTCAGGTCATTGTTGATGCTGTAATAAACAGTAAAGGCAACTCACTCTACTCACCATTTTGTATTGGCAGGGTTGTGATACCAACCCCTGACCTATATGACACCACCTCATTGTCAATGTTGGGATGCAGGATAATGGGGATGGTACAACTCTAGTCCAGTCCAGTTTCATCCCATTATCCATTTACAATTGCTGCATTTGTGGGACTGGAGCAATGAAATGGACTAATTGTCATACATTGAAAACCTAGCATCTTTTTGTTTTGTTTTGTTTTGTTTTTTGTTTTTTGTTTTTTGTTTTTTGATTTTCTTGTTTTCTTACATGAAGTGTTAAGTCTGTGTTTGAAGTGTATTTTATAAAAAATAATTTTATTGGTAAATTATGTGATAAGCAAATGAAATGTGGGAATGCACCAATCATGGGATGTCCAATCATTAGTTCTATCCAAATGTCATTGAAACATTGGATTAGGATGCATTGACATTTTGCTTCATTCTCATCTCCAAATTATAGTAAATGTATCCATGGAAACATATATAGAACTGACTTGACGAGTGGTTCTTATTGCCTGATGCATATAATTCCCCACGGCCTTACAATTCATTTTATCATTTTTTTTTCCTGTCAATAGTGGACCAAGGGAAGATGCAACCAGAATTGGTTCTGCTGGTGTTGTGAGGCGTCAAGCTGTCGATATATCTCCACTGCGCCGTGTTAATCAGGCAATTTATCTTCTGACAACTGGTGCTCGTGAAAGTGCTTTCAGGAACATAAAGACAATAGCTGAATGCCTAGCTGATGAATTAATCAATGCTGCCAAAGGGTCTTCCAACAGGTAGAAAACAATAGTATCTTTTATTATTTTTTTGAAGCACCTTATTGATTTATTTTCCAGTGCTTTTGGGATGAAAACAATAATGTCCTTACTCATTTTGAGAAATAATTATTTATTTGTTTAGTTTTGGGTGTGGGGTGGGGGAAGAGTTTGGTTAATCTATTCTTAAGTTTCCTGTTTTATACTCTTCCCTTGGTGGGTTAGGGAAATACTATACGATCAGAAATTTTGTACAGAATCTACTTTCAGAATGATCTGGCTGAGGTAAACTAGTAAATAATGTTCATAATGATGGGTTTTATGTTTTTGAATGAGATGACCACAATAAATTAAATCATTATGTGTAATGATTCTGTACAATCTTTCTGTTTCTCATGCACTATTGGGTGGCTTATAGGAATTTTTAGTTGGGGTTTGTGTTTATATTTTGTGCAACACCCACATGTTTATATTTTTTTCCCCTTTTTTTCAAATTTTATTTCAGTGCTCATAGTGTTGATTTTTTTTTTATTTATACATATAAATTTATTGATAATAATGCTACTTTCCATGTTTCAGTTATGCTATCAAGAAGAAGGATGAAATTGAAAGGGTTGCAAAAGCCAATCGTTGAGTTGTAGAGGAAATCTTGCTGCAATGGAGTTTGACATTTGACAGTGCCTTCTACAGTTTTTATTGGTTAGCTTTTTCATTTTTGAGTCGGCGAATATTGTGAAGAATAGTCTGAGGTTATTATTTAGATTATTATCTATTTTGATGCTATGTTTTGTTTTCTAAAACTTGTTTCCATCAGTGTTGTGCGACTCTGAGGGACACACTTTAGATTACTGTTCCAGTCAATATGCATCATATTTTTTCCATGAATTCATATTTTTTTAAGTTTTTGTTGAGTTGAGTTAACTCGAACAGCAAGTTTTTTAAGCTAACAAATTTCATAGTTTGATAAAACCTGACTTGTTTACTTTTTGATAAGATTTCAAATGAGCTTTCATACATTGTTCACAAGTAGGAATGGCAACGGGGCGGGGCGGGACGGGGCCGGGGGTCACCCTCCCCGGCCCCGATCCCCGACGGGGAACCTGTCACAGTCCCCATCCCCGTCCCCAACGGGGATCGGGTTTCCCCGACCCCGAAAAGTCCCCGATCTA